TCTCTAAAATATAGGGAATACTCAGCAATTGTTGCTCTATTCTCTATAATTTAGACTCAATCAGAGTATGAACCCACTAAGCACAGCCCCTACACGAAGAGAAGAAAAGGAGGTCACATCCATTAACTCTATCCAGCTTCAGCACATACACTCCTCACAGCGATCAACCATCTCCAATTACAGCGGTGTCGTCAGCATGTGCCTTGGAAAATCAGACCATAGCAATATCCATAGCTTGGACGCCAAGCATGTGCGTGTGTGCAACTGTTACAACAAAAGGAGGCCATTATTGTTGTTATTATTATTATCTTTTTGAGGCTGACGATTGAGTTGGGCTTCAACGCATGATTAAGCTTTTCACTAGCACTCATTTTCAGCTGTCATTGTTGTTTGTTTCTTTGAGGATACATTCCTACGCCAATACCAACGCCGAACAAGTATAGGCGTCAGAATGCATTAGGTATCACAATAGGTCACTGTAAAAATAAAATCCAGTATAAATTTGTTCATATGCACCCCACGCTCGCCAAATCAACCGAGGCTCTTCTCACTCTAATCTCATCTCCCATAAAAAAAGAAACGTCCCCGGAATCGTTCGGTGTCCGTGTCCCGGGGATCCGGGTTAATGACCCCCGGCCCCGAATGGATGGGACTATTTATTGTCTGATATGCAAGGCACGCAGAGCCCCAATGATCCTTTCTTTATGGTCTGATTTCAACAATCGAAAGTTGTAATTTCTAAGATCGATCTTGATAGGATCACAAAGGCCCCTGCTGAGCTTGAAACGGGCAAGGACATACGCAAGGTCAGCTTCGGTGACATATCAACGGTGACCACTGGACGCTTGTGCATTTCGGTGAGCGTTGCAGCATCTCATTTATGGCCTCATTTGAAGGTTTAATCGATATCATGGGCATTGTGTGAGTCATCGACAATGCATTGGCACTGCGTATACAAGACTATGTTGCATCTCAGCAGTGGCCTGATATGCCCTGGAATACCATCTCCTACGTTGACACCTAATTCTATACTCGAGACCACCTCCATCAAGGATTCTCGGTGTCGATATGCAAGTATGCCGCTTACTAAGAAGAAAGAGTTTGAATGCTACCCAGAGCATGATATTGGACTGGTCATGTGCCTGAAACGACTGATCGAACTCGTTGCGTACTATTTATTTCTACCTAGAATACGCAACAATATCAGATCTCACATCGCTGCGAAATAAAAATTCACGATGCAATGGCATTTTTAGGCCTTTTGCGGCCTTGAAGGTGAGATATCTTCCTGAATTAGTAGGCGAGGGCTGCGGTTAAAAGCTATCATGCAGTTCAGTTACAGATGATCTGATCATATTAGGCCAGCAAGACCCAGCCGATCGGCTCCTCCACGATACCCGCATGCATCTCACATTACGCGAGTAGATCACATCTAAGGTTAAATGCTATGCAACTTATCATGCATCTCCTCACGGCGTGTGGAGCATTCCATCAAAGACATCGGCCCGGTCCGTATCCCTGCCTTGCCTTGCCTTTCCGCGGAGATCTCACAACAATTATGGCCTTGCCACTGGGGAGCTGAATATCCTGGTTTCTTTGGTCTTTTCTCTAACGCTTATAAGTGCCACTGATGGTATAATCCTTCTTCGGCCCCTTGACTGTGTACTCGATGCCCCACTCCATCAGGTTCACGGCCTGGAAGGCAAAGTTGTACTTGACATCGTAGTAGTCGTCAATGCATAAGTGTCCTGCTTTGGCCTTCCATCCCTTACTCGTCGGTCCTGTGAACTCAATCTCGTGGAACAGATAGTCTGCACGCTTTAGATCCTCTGGTTTAGCGAACCACACACTCAGCACATCCTTGAGCTCATCATATCTCCAGACGTAACGACGTGTGGCCTTGAAGCCAAATCCTTGTTCTGTCTTGAACTCTCCCTCTTCGATATAGAGATACTCCATGCCCAGCTCATCATCACTCGGAGCATCCTCGCTAGCGTTGCCTGCACATCGCAAACCATCGTTTGTCTTCTCGCGGAGGAGGAACTGCGCAGTCCCACTAAAGTGTCCGCTTGGATGTGAGGGTAGTTTGCTCACAAGATCACGCTCGAGCTGCCATGTACCGAGAAGACTTCGAAAAACAGCGTGGGCCACGAATCTCGAAGTCGTCAGACCATCCATTGCATCTTTGTGTGTCTGCTCTAGTGATTTTGTCGCAGCATCCTTTGAATCCTGATCGTCACTAGGGTTTGAGTACCTCGCTGGTGTAAGCATGTCCAATGGCAGATTGTTATGCGGCAAGCTGGGAACTGGAGGCTCAAGAGGCTTGCGAATCTTTAACTCAAGTGCCTCTGCAATCTCATTCACCAGATAAGGGTAGTCACCCATTGGGAACTGCGATACTCGGGGATCATTTCGCAATTCGAGTGTTCGCTGGATCGAGGTGTCAGCACGAAGCTTGTTCTTAAAGATCTCGGATTCACGGCCAAGGGATACGTTGTCTGACCACAGCGCAGCCACAAACCGAGCCTGCATCTGCATCACACCCCAGTATGGAGATCTGTAAAATCCCACGAAACCTAGATCTGGAACTTCAGGGTGGTGAGTTCCATGGAAAGCCAAGGCGACAGGCTGATCAAGGTGTTTTGGTGAGAAATTAAGTGCCTTCAAGACATCTTCAGGAAGATAGTTTATGCAAGGTGAAGCATCAAAACCTGTCGCTGCCACCACCGCTGCAATATCCTCAATCTTTGTGCCGTCGGATAGTGTTGCCGTAGATCCTTCGAGACTTTCGACTTTGCCTTTCGACAAAGAAATCATTCCAGATCGAACAAAATCAGTGTACCATTCGCTAACAGCTAAATAGGGCTGTTTATCATCATTTGTGCCATCGATTTTGAGCAGCGGGGAGTATTCCGACTGATCAGAGCCAAGCACGCCTTTGTAGACACTGTGGACTACCTTTGCTGTTGCTTCGGGGATGTGTCCTTGTGTATTGGTCAGGGGTCGAGGACGGTTGTTGAGGTTGTAGGAAGAAAAGTCGAGAGGGAGAAATGGCGCTGCGGCTTCTGCAGGCTTGGGACTGGTATAAAGAGGGAATACCCATATCGGGCGTTGGATGACATGGTGAATGCTGTACTTGCCAATATCGGTAATCGTCGATGGATCGGGTGAGTTGGCCTCGGAAGAAAGATGAGCGCCAATGGTTCCGGCAATCTCGACACCAGACATTTGTCCACCAACTACAAGAATCTTCCCACCACCAGATCTAACTTCGCCCAGAAGGCTCTTCACATCCCTGTAATGACTGCTGTGGACAACTGGGATAGCTGTCTGCTTCTCCAAACTCTCAGGTATAATAGGCTTTCCAAAGAAGCCAGAAGCAATAAGAAGATAGTCAAAATTCTTTGTTTCAGTTCCGGCATCTGACTTGGTGTTGACAATCCAACCATTAGACGATCCCTCAGGCCGCTTTGCACTCTCAACCCGTGTACCAAGCTTGAGTTCAAAGTCCTTGTTGCTCTTCAGGAACCGCTCGAGATATCTGTGAAGATACTTTCCAACCGTCCACCCCTGTGGGAGTTGAGGGTCACTATCTTCCCATGCAAGTTCACTAAACTGCATTGTATGTCTGCTCTGGTTCGCCCACATAAATGGGTGGACCTGTCTTCCATTGTCCGTCTTTGACGTAGGCCACAGACCTCCAATATCCTTCTGGGCATCGAAGATGGTGACTTTGAATTCGCCTGGGGCAGTGTTGTGTAACAGCGTTTTGGCTGCGACAAGTCCTGAAGGACCAGCGCCTACGATACTCAGCGAAGGTGTCAGAGATAGCAAGGGGTGACTCACCAACAATACAAACCGTCTTGGCCATTTTTCTCACACCGGATAAATACCTTGAGATACTCATATAAGAGCTCAATGACTCCTATATAATCCCTGTCCGAGGCTCACTTGTACGATGAGTAGACAGGGTTGAGCGATTTGTAGCAAGAAAGCTATGATGAGGGGACTGATGGAGGATAAGCAAATTTGAGAGAACAGCAGGCTTTCATATAAGACCCATCAATGAAAGAACACCACCCCTTCACGACTGTCCGTCAGCGTGCAAACACAATCTCAGGGTGATATAGAGCATTCAGTGAGAAAAGGCATCCAATGGTTGAGCTCGATCAAGCTCCGCAACTCCCGAGATCTTCCAGGCTGTAAGTGGCTTACCTAAGCGCTTGTGCTTGTGAAATGCATCAGATTGCGAATTCATATTTATCCAAACAATGAATAAAGCATTATTTGATGAGAATGACGACCTCTTTACTTGAGTGATATGGCTACCTATAAAGCCGTTGATTTCGCATTGAGATTGCCTGTGTTGCTTGGTAGAGAGCTTCGGTTGTCCCATCTCAGAATCTAGTGTTGGTTTCTGGTGTAAGCGGCATAACAGTGTACTATGTATCCAATATGAGAGCTCAGAATGGGGTTTTGCTTTATAAGGTCAAAAGAGATTATCGTAAATACCAATTGAACCAACGTGAGTTCATGATATTAGTAAGACGGGGAGAGTAGAAAGATATCATTCAAGTGCCGGTTATGCATGTCATCAACTCCAGCTAAACTCTGGGTCAGTCTAACAACACCACTAACACACTATCAACCCTGACATCACAACCCCCAGCATAATCAGGTAATTTCGAGTCAGTATGATATAAAAATCACCTTGATGGCGAGGGAAATGATTCGAATCTCGTCAATTCCAAGATCCATAATATCAAATGCCGTTAACCTCTCAGAATTAGTAATAGTTGAATAGCCCCGCATTGTTGCGAATGTCGTCATACCTTGTAGAATCGTCAGTTGCCCTGTAACTCTAAAGTAGATAAATACTCAAGGTCCAACTCAAATGAGATTATCCCAACGGTATCTAATCTTTTAACGTCCAGTAACTCTCATCGACATATCCAAGCTCCCTCTGACCCAATTGACACATCCTCACTTATACCTACACAATGGCTTCTCATCACGTTCTCCTTCTTGGCGGCCACGGCAAAATCGCCCAGCTTCTCACTCCTCTCCTCCTCAAGCGCTCGTGGACTGTAACCAGTGTCATCCGAACTTCTGAACAGACCCCTGCCATCGAAAAACTTGGTGCCGGCCTCCCCGGTAAACTCAATGTTCTAGTACGTAGCATTGAGGACGTCACATCCCAGGATAAGGCCTTGAGTATCTTGAATGAAGTCAAGCCCGACTATATTGCTTGGAGTGCTGGTAGGTCCACATACGAGAATCGCCTTTGTACCAATACTGATGAGATACAGGTGCTGGAGGTAAAGGTGGCGCAGAAAGAGTATGAACCAGCTCCGTCCTCTTCAGATCAGCTCACTTACTGACCCCTCCTAGACTTTCAAGGTGGACCGAGATGCCGCCGTTCACTTCATCAATGCCGCAGCATCTGTACCTACCATCACCAAGTTTCTTCTTATCTCATACCTAGCTTCTCGTCGATCTGGTGCTTCATGGTGGCCTGCTGGCGAGTGGGATGAGTATAATGAAAAGGTCAACAACGGCGTATTGGCAAACTATTACAAGGCCAAGATCGAAGCCGATGAGACCCTCTACAAGGTCTCCAAGAAGAGTCCTACTCTTGTTGGCATCGATCTGAGACCCGGAACTCTGACTGATGACCCAGCCACCAAAGTTGAGTTTGGTAAAACCAAGAGCATCGCTAAGAACGGTGTTAGCCGCGAGGCTGTTGCTGAGGTTGCCTCACATCTTCTCGTTGCCGATGGTGTCAAGAACGGCTGGTATGATCTCCTCGATGGTGACGAGGATATTCCAGCTGCCGTCGAAAGAGTTGTGCGCGAGAACGTGGATGCTGCTGAGGGCGAGGCCATCTATGATGCCTAAAGGGTGTCTACCTGCAATAATATCACGGTCATATAATATTTAAGTCATAAGTCATTCTGAATTCATAATGATACATCGCAGCTGGTGCGGTCCACGCTTATACCCCGTTTTTAACACCCGGTGATCCATCCCTGTGAAGGCGAATTGTAATGACATGACAAGTTATGTAACATTTGTGCTTGCCTCAGACAAATGTGTGGAACATACCCTTTTTGACTCCTTCCATATAGTTTCTCTTACATATAAAATAAATCATGTCGAAACCGGTTTCTCGGTATCCTCGACTGAGTAGGCGCGTAGTTGTCGAGTTCGCTCAAAGGTGTTTCGATAGCTTCCCTTGCTTGAACCAAGTCGGCTATTGAGCCGGACCCCATTTGCACATTCTTCGGGCGCTCCGAGCCATTTGAACCTTAGACCACGCATTTCCTCATTGAAGGTCTTCCAGCTGGTGGTGAAGTAGATCACGGCGTTCCAAACACCCTGCAAGGGAAGCACACAGCCACTGGCGACACTGAGGGGGAAGCTGATCCTGTCGTGATGCGTCAGGCTATACAGCCGGTTGGCGGAGCTCGGAATCCAAGTGATCAACACAGCAAGACCGAAGATGAAGCTTGTGCGCAAATATGCCATCTTGATTGGATCAAATTGTCTGAGTTTCATAGAAGCGTTAGACTTGACGGCACGAAGTTTAGTCATTATTGAGAAGGATGGCTGGCGAGAACTGTCGGAGGTGCAGAGTGTTTCGAATCGTTGAGCTCTGCTGGAAGTCGATGTTTCAATAGGTTCGAAGGAACTAGGTAGGACCCAAGAGTTGATACGCGGAGGCATTGCGGCAAGAGAAGGACTTGGAAGTATAGTCTCTTGTTGGTTTGCTGGCCTCGGCTCTTCTCGTGTAATCTGAACTTCTGTGACTGCAGTACCATAGAAGTCCTGACGAGGCGTGAGATTCTAAGGACAAAAGTCAGCTTGGCCTACTTCACTAGCATCGGGTGGTGAGGTTACCGCTTCCGAGGAGCCTCTATGCTCACTACTCGAATAAGGAATGCGATCATTCTTCTCGATGTTGCCAACAACATCCATCACCATATGCCTGATCTGATTTCGAGTGTGGAAAACATGGTATCCAACAGCGATGTAGATCATGATGGAGAGGAATGAAAATATCCAGATTGGGATGTAATAGGCGTAGAGACGAACAAGACTCCAGTCAGTCCCGATCCAACACCAAAGCTACAAATTATCAGTATACGACCGGAAGAAGAGTGGCTAGGTACCGCTTACTGTAGCGTCTCCAAATATGAGACCTTCAGAGGAGTTACGGATTGATATCAGAACAACTGCTGGAATGAAAGGGCCGCCGAAACAGATCAGGCAGTATAGCCAGGCATACTTGCGAAACATTCGAGGATCGGCATTGCAGAAGAACACGAGAAACACATTGATAGCCATTGCAAGTGACCACCAAGGGTCAGACTGCATGAACCTAGGGAACGAGGTTAGTGTTGAACCATAACCTGGGTTAAATATCATACCATTCAAAGATGAATGCCTGTGCCTGACAAAGATGCGATCCCTCGCCCCTTTCAAGACCATCATAGCCGATCATAGATGCAACACTTGCACCGGCATTTGCGATCGAGGCAAAGATGAGAAACAAATTCGGAGTTGTTCGAAGTTTCTTGAAAAGGCCGAAGGTTAGCAGCACCAGAATGATAGCGATCATAGAACATCCTGCTCCGACTCGTTCGATAGTGATGAGAATCTCTATATTCTCAGGTGACAAGGTCGGCCCTCGGTGATGCTCAGGATGGCTCTCCATGTTGACTTTTGGTGAGGCCAAAGCCTTGGAGTTGATGATGCGAAGGAACGAGGTGGCCAAGCGCTCGCTCCGCAAGAGAATGTGAACAAGCACAAACCAGGAAGGAGAGGAGGGGTAGAATGAAAAGGGGAAGGAGATGTTGCGAGCTCAACACGGTTGACTTACACACGGAAGGGGCGCTCGGCGACTGCGATAGAGTTGGCAGTTGCCATCAGTGGCAGGTTAAAGGTGGTGGCTTAGTTCCTTCCACATTGAATCATGGGAGCGAATAGATTAAGAGATGAGATGGTTATTCTCCGATAGTGAACAAATGTGTCTGAAATCTGATTAAATTCAATGCTTTATTTCTTTTTGTTTCAATGCTATTGTTACTTGTTATGCACTGAATATTTATGCAGTCCTTTTCATTGTGGTTTTTGTGTAAGCTTATATCACTTGATCACTTAGACCTTACGCAAATAACCTTAATCATAGCCTTAAACAGCTCCAGATCCACTAGAGCTTTGAAATATCAGCTGTTCAGCTAACTGTTGAGGTTTCTATTATTGCATGTTGCCAAGGAGACTACACTTCAGTCTCTTATTAACGAAACGTCAAGTCTGCATTTACGAGGCCTTGACATGAACGGCCACAGTAAAGACCATTAATGGAAGTTTGGCTATAGAGTTCATTCAGTCAAAAGATATAACGACATTCAAATCCCTACATATTATATCATTTCAACACCGTCGATGGCAGATATAAAACTTGTATAAAACCAACCATTAGCGTAGCATCCAATTGGAGTGGCCTCTTTTGGCCTTGGTCACCATAATGGGACAAGCTTGCATACATACGTACCTCGGCATCAGAATGACTGCCACATCCTTGATTTCATGTCGATCGACCTTCATAAGCCAGAGGCAAAGGCCTCGCATTGCCTCTCCTCCCATTCTCATCTCAACAATTGATGAACAAACTCTCACATAATGCAAGTTTCGAAGCTTCTAAGACCCATCTCCACTCAACTGCCGAGCTTCTACATCTCCCGATCGGCCCCGCACTCCCGGGTCTTAAATCGCATCACCGGACCGCCCGTGATAAACACGACCCTCTCACACATCAACATCAAAGCCTTCTCGTCAGCCAAAATGGAGTTCCCACCCTTCCACAACTCAATCCTCTGCCCTGCACTTGACCTGGTGCCAGAGAACGCACCACCTGATCTGTTCGCCACGGAATTATCCTTCTTTGCTTCCCATCCATGGACGGCTTCTCTGCTCTGCGCGCCTGATGCAATCCCTTTTCTTCCTTCATGTCGCGTTCCAAAGTCACAAGCGCATGATCAACTTTTTGGGAACACACTCAATAATTCTCGTGGCTTGGGGCATTTCATCAGTTACTTTCGTGCGCCAAATCTTGAGGTCGCCAAGGATCCTACACATAATATCACTGAGATCGCGGTGCTTGTATCGGTGGGCGAAGGTGTAAGTGGGTATCCTGGGATGGTTCATGGCGGAATTGTCGCGGCGTTGTTAGATGAGTCAATGGGTACTATCTTTGATTTGAACGGGACTTTGGGTAAAGAGGCTAGGGCGTTCAAGACGCATAGTGTGACGGGTGGTATAGATGTGAAGTATCTCAAGCCTGTGCCAACAGACAGCGTTCTCTGCATCACAGCTGTTGCAGAAGAGATTGATGGGCGAAAGACAAAGGTCAGAGGTGAAATGAAGGATGAGAAAGGCGAAGTGCTGGCGACTTGCTCAAGCCAATGGGTAGCACTCAAACCAAGGTTGTGATCAAAGGAGTTTGACAAACATATATGGTGGTGAGCAGGCTCCTGGATTAGAATAAGACTATATTACTACCTAGACATAAGAAAAAAGGTATCGAGGAATGCAAGAGTAACAGAGCAAAAGTGGTATATGAAACCCATACAGGAACCTTTCGCCAATACTGACAAGTCCATCTAATCAAGGTACCCATTATTTCGGCCGTAAGTCATAACCCGATCATTTAGAACTCTCTCCTCTCTCCGACTTTAACCCAGGAACATACGACTTGACCGCATCTTTGACCTTGTGGGGGTCTTCCAAAGCTTCGTAGGCGGCCTCTCGCTTACTCTTGTGTCCCTGCTGCCAAGATTCCTCTCGGTCATCCAACTCACTCTCGGCTGAGCTGATACTGCTCTGGCTTCTGTTCATGACCATGTTGATCATTCTGCCCTCGTTCTTCTTGACGTTGCGCTGGTTCTCCTTCATATCCTGCAGCTCCTGATCCTCCCAGTGCATCGTAATTATACCCAGTCCTGGGAAGTTCTTCTCGAGAAATTCCTTCAGATACGGCAGAGTTGACTTGTCCGGTCGGTATGTTCCGGAATCGTTGTCGATGATCAGTTGATAATATGCAGGATCGTGTGGAGGATGTTCCTTTGGTGGACCTCCAGGAACGTCTTCCTGCGGGTGTGTCTTGGTATGAGGGTGTACATCATCTGAAGAAAGGGGCTTCTTAAGCCGTCGAATGAAGAATTCACCTGAACAGGCGATATACGTCTCAACATCTGAATGCATAGTGTGCTTGCTCAACATGTCGATACCGAATTCTTTACCAGTCTCTGTAAATCTGAACATGCCGTCCAAGGTCAGAACATAGGTAAAGGTGCGACCTCCTTCGTCGAAGTGAACAAGCTTCAGGAATTGCTCCGAAGCCTCCGGTGAGCATGCATCGAAATCGCCGTATTCTGTCGATGCGTTGAAATTATAGATACGGCGATGCTGGCTGTGCAGTGCTTTGTTCAGAATTGTGCCGCGCAAGCCAGCTGAAGAGTAAATCGATGCAATAATAGGTCTAAACTCGACAAAACGATGATACAGCTTGGGAGGCACTGGTCCTTGAAGCTGCATTTCATTTGCCTGGAAACTGACAACATATTAGCATAGCCCATTTTGATCTTTTATAAGCAACATACTCGTATTTTTGTGTCTTGCTCTTCTTGTTTCCCTCTTGGTCAACTTGCTGATCTTCATCCACTCGGGCATCGTCCTCGGCATTAGCGTTGACTTTGACACCGGCGATTCGGCCGATCAGGGGACTGAAATGTTTGACCCATGTTGTTGGTCCAACAGTGTACATTTGCGCATAAGGCGGATCCGACGGTCCCAGAAGCTCCATGCTCAGACGCAGCAGAGGTGTCATGTGAATGTTGTGAGTGACAACACTGGTAATAGCTTTGGCAAGATATGCTCGTTTGCTCATCATGCGCTTCTTAGCCTCATAAACACGGCCAGGAGCGGGAATGCCTTTCCAGTCTGGGCCTATACTGGGCACTTTAATTGTGACATTGCCCAATCTATCATCATGATCGGGGAAATCCTCATCGTACATTCGGCACTTGAGAGTGAAGCCTGTTGGTGGGACGTTGGCGACAACCCATTCATCTTCCCATTCCGGCTCGGTCGTCTTCCTTATGGTTTTCGTGCGGTGGGTGAGATCGGGATCCTCCTTATGCCGCTTCGGCTGGGTACCTTTTAGAGTCGCATGAAGGAAGGGATCTGAAGAGGCTGTAACAAAGTCGCCGGGAGCAAGATTTGAGGCTCCGTGGAAGATGAATCGAATGGTATAACCTTGCGGCGCATCAGGAAGAGGGGTCGGGTCGAAGCCACCAGGAGGTCCTTTTGTAATCTGATGTACACGGTCCTTGAGGCCGGTGCCAATCTTTGTAGGGCGCTTTATAACGTGGTCATGATGATGCTCCTGTCCATTTTCTTGTGGGTTTGCACCGTTTGTCTGTTCTTGTGCTACCCCGTTGCCATTCTGTGTCGCTGTCTCGTCATGGCTGTGACCGTTTGTTTGGCCATCGCCGTTGGTGCTGCTGATTGGAGCGGTCATTTTCTTCTAGACCCTTGTTTCTGCTGAAGAATGCGAAAGAAAGATCGAGATTGCGATCTAACGAGTTTGCGCCGGATGATATACTGCTCGATACAGTAACCAAAAAGACAGCGTCACTTGAAAGAAATAATGACCTATCATCCGGGTACCCGAAGGATGGTTTTGTTATGACGATGAAGGAGGAGGGTTGAGTTCAATAACGGTTAAAAGAGGCTGGTTCCTAAGGGTCCTGTCCTCGATAGATGGTGTGATAAGCGCCGTCGCAACCGTGGCTCTGGAACTGAACTAGAAATACAACTATTATAATGGCGGCAGACGGTGGCTTATATTTGGAGAGCGCCATGCCAACCAGGTCATGATAATCTCGTTACAGTCCATGGCATGAGAACTTCACAGCCAAGGCTAGACTTGGTCTACCTACCTACCCACAACAACAACAGCTGTATAACTCAGCACCTCTTGGCGCCATGAAGCGTCGCAAGCTCTCATGGCCAAGTCATTAAAAGTACCATTGAATTTGCTATTTTCTGACGTCACCTCGAGTTGTGTACAGGGAAATGCATGCAGGACTTCACGGCTATAGCGGCATTTGATGTGCCAAGGGCTGGGCTGTAGCGGCTATGAGTGCCGCCCAGCGTGGAAGCCCCTTGAGATTCACCCACTTGGATGGGGCTTTTGGGGGGACCCTGATCACTTTTCTCGGCACAGCCTAGAAATTCTTTACGCGATGGCTTCGGAACGCGGCTCACTTGTCAAAAACGACTTTTAGTTCATTCAATCATGAGATCGGCATCGTAAATTTCGATTCTGCTTGTTCATGATCGACATTCTAAGGTTTCATGTATTCTCTCCAATCATCATCTACTACCACTTTGGGTAATAATACTCACTTACACGCAAGCCGTCTGTTTGCTTCTCAACATTGCATCACAAACAATCCTCAGCTCGAGTCAAGACACTAATAACATGTGCTACTAATGTCATTAGCTTATTAAAGGCTCAAGCTCGGATCTCGGATCCAATGTTGGCCAGGCCCTTGTTCTAGACAACAACATAGCCTCCATCTAATCATTCCACTATCAGTTCTAAGGCTGTTTATTAATGTCCATCATTCAGAATCTGCCAAACCCATGTCCAATTAACCTTTATACGAAGCAGTCAGCCCAATCTAACTAAGGTTGTTTAAATGTCCGAACGCGTTAGCGATAACTCAGAAACTCTTGTTTTACGAAATAGCGAATGAGAAGTCATTCCGCCTCCTTTATTGGCCTGTTCTTAAGCTTTCCGATGCTTTATGCATGTTGTTACTCTTATTACCAATCCAAGACTGACACCTACTAATCTCATAGCCACGGGACATACATATATAGTACTTAGAACGCACATCTACGAGGAGACCAATAGATTGATCTTCTTAGTATTCGGCATCTCCGTGAACGATATCACTCAACAACAATACATTCAGGCGCACATAGCTTCGCTACTTGTCCCTTTAGCTACGGCACAGACCCCACGTGGACTATCATAGTCTCATATCAGCATCCAAATCAAGTCTCAGCCGTTCCTTAAGCTGGCTTGAATGGAGCAAGTGGCTAGAGTGGTCATCTTTCTTGCCAAATCATGCAGATGGGAGAAATAACTATCCAGGGTACACTAGGTAACTACATGCTCGCCCAAGTCATGCCTTTGCCTCATCTGTACCACGGTCTGACTCAGACGCTGACTATTGTCAAGTAGGAAGCAAGCATATTAACTCGGGAGCATTTTTTTCCATATATCATTTGAAAGAGTTCGTGCTATTCTTTGTGGCATATTATTTCTTCGTGGATGAAACGTCGAGCCATTGCTATACACTCCTGATATTCACCGTAGCAGTGGCTTCCCTTAACCAAGGCATATTTCACATAAAATGCAGACACAAAGAAACATAAAGCGATCCCAGCACTGACTAGTGACTGAAACATCAAAAGAGACCATAAACCGAATCAATCACTCTCCCAATCCTCCATACACAACCATTCGAACCACACTCCCTCTTCTCAACCTTCGCATTCATGACCCTTCCCCCTTCAACTTCAAGCTTAAATCCCGCCCGCCCCTTGATATGTTTTCCATCCATTCTCCCAAAACCTGCCATGAGGAAGAACCGTGTCGCATCGGCGTTACCGGGGGCCTCAGCAGTTTTCGTAAAGGACTTCAGTGCTTCATTCGAAGGTACGAGGTAGACAACTTTGGAATTCTCCTTTGTACGACGTCCGGAGAATGACATGTCGAGACGATCTCTAGGGAACCATGGGGCAACGGTGTATAGAAGTTCTCTGGCGCGAGAAGTTTCAGGGTCGGCGGCCAATATATCCTTCATTGATTTGGAAGGGGAGTGCTTGATGGTTGGTAGAGAGCGGTGATTCCTGGCGGAGTCTTCACCGAAATAGGTGAGTAATGGATCAAGAATGTTGTCTATTTTGTACACGACGCCGTTTGAAGCAGGAACACGAATTGGGTTGCCTCTCTTGTCTCTCAGGAGTCTAGCTTGTGTGCCAGCACGCACATCAGTCTTCGCCAGGCCTGGGTTGGTGGTGATATCCCCCTTCGAGTCGGTATGAATTGAGAACCCCTCGATTGAGACGATGTTCTCATTGTATAGATCATGTGGAGCGAGTTTACCCGGCAGGATATGCGTACGCAGAAGAGCGGCCAAGAGAGGGTAGCCAGTTGCTGTGGTCAGCTTCTCAGTGAGGCCATGGACCTTAGCAATCGCCTCGTTGGTAGGGGCGAGGATAGTAAAGTCGAGACCAACGTTGTTGTCATTGAAACGCTCCTCGAAGGCAGGCTCGGGGATTCCAATGCCATCACCGGTTGACTTGAAGAGTTCATAGAATGCAGTCAAGTCCTTGTGCTGTTCCAGAACAGTGAGGACAGCATTGGTGCGATTAACCTTGGCTGATGCTCCAGCCAAGAAGTAGATGGAAGCGCACAGCGCTGCTTTGAAGAATTTGGTCATTTTTTAAAAAGGAGTGTCAAGTTGTAATTGTTCTTTTGAAGCTGATATCTAACATCTTTAATCGCGGAGCTTCGTACCATTTTATAGATATTTTGGTACTGTCACTGGACTCTGTAGCTTTGACGATGTTACCCAAGTCCAGTATTGCTGTGCATAAATGAAAAGAAATTCAGGTTTTCTTGATTTTGGAGATTTTCAATGCAACGCTCTTTTGCGCCGTGGTGCTTCATGCTCTTATACTCAAAAAGTTAAAGTATGGGCTACTCCATAGTTGAGAAGAATTACACCAGAACAAGTAGACTAAACCGTGCACCGAAGATCAAACAAACTGTTGAACCCTGATTCGAGCCGGGACGATCATACTTCTCACGGGCCAGCTTTATTCTCAGCCCTTTATGATTATTTCAATATGCTGTGCGGCCGTAGTCTTCCGCGACAGCTTCCAGCGCTTAGACGTTCGTCAGTTTCAGTGTGTAATACCAGAATTTGTATGATTTTGTGGCGTTCGGGCGCATAAAATGACACTATCAGGGAATATTGGCGTTCAATGAGAATACCGAGTATCGCTTACATGGTGAATCTCTTATTATCTGAAGCCGATGTCTCAGTGTACCTTTTAGTGATAATGAAGGCCAATATCGTACCACGTAACACGTAGTAGTTATCACACTCAACGATGACTCAAACAATCTTCTTTATCAGGTGCGAATCCTACATTACATATGATCACTATATGAAGCTGAGACAGTACTAAGGGTGTAATCTGATAGAAATGAACAATAACTAAAGGAATTTAACATAAATACTCAAGATGATTCTACCCATATACCAATCATTTATTATTTACCCTAGAGCATTGTGATTTTCGCCATAGCAGGCTGCTGCGCTACCTCAATATCTACGACGAAAGAAAATCCGGGGAAACTGGTGGCTGAAGCAAGTCGAAGCGAAGACCATGCTGGATTAAAGCTCTCCTGACCAATGTCGCTTCTTGAGTGTTACTATTTTAATCTTTTGTCTCTGTGAACTGCTTAACACGAATGACGTTGGTGAGACTTCTAAGTACCAGTTTAAAAAGATACTCCTTTTTTGCAGCACTTGTCGCGAAAGCGGGTGTACCTCCGAAGCAAGGTACATCTCTCATCGATAGGGTATGCGCCGTTGTTCAGGGTCCGAGTCGCTTCTAACATCGGCCAAGGACAATCACGACATCTGCTTTAATGCGGTATTTTATCCGATTGATGATGAGCGACATTAACTCCCCGACCAACAGGTGTTCCTATTGAGCCAAATGTACTCGTTCTGGGGGATGAAAAGGCTGATGAATGGAAGTATCTTTTAGCTGTTAGTGACCTCCTTGGATTCCGTAAGCTTCTCCCAATCGTCATCCCTAGTGGGGCCTTCAGGCGAGCTGATTGGTATCAATCGTCATTCCAGTTACCATTGCCCCGCCGTCGATCTGACTGCCCCGCCATTTGCTACCCTGAGATCCAATTGAAAGAGCTTATCGAGCTTCTGAAGCCATTGATCATACGGGGAGCTCAACAGAAGAAATCCAATCCCATTGTTCCTGTTCCTGTTCCTGGGCCTGGCACCGCACTTCACTTGCCTCGTCCCAACGCTTGCTTTAGGTACAGTAGGTACTGTAGGTAGGTATAAAGCTCCACGCTCGCCTCCTCTTTTTCAAGATGCGCCCTTTCTCTCCTGCATCCATCTCCCGCGTTACTCGCACAACCACTCGAATCAATCCCTTTTTTACCCAACCTCGCAACTTTTCTTTCACACAAGCCATAATGGGTGTTCAGAAGACCATCATCTCCGAGGGCAGCGGCCCCTCTCCCCAGGTCGGCCAAAAGGTCACCATCCAATACACCGGCTGGATCAAGGACGAGTCCAAGCCTGACAACAAGGGCGACCAGTATGTTCATTCGTGCGCCCACCGCTCTTGAACGCAGTTGACAACTCTCTTCACAGGTTCGACAGCTCCGTCGGCCGTGGT